AAAAATGTGGTCCTAGGCTTTGCTAGATCTCTGGGAAGCCTGACTGACAATGCAAAATGAACAACACTGAAAGGAGAAGGACCTCTACATCTCTCTGCGGAGAACTGAATGTACAGCCCCATCGCAGCTGGTCAGATATCTGGAATAAGGGGCAGAGTAAACTGATTATAACTGCAAAGTGGAGGCCAAGAGATGAAGTCTATTCTCACTGTGTTCCCCGTCAGTTACTGACTAGAGCAGAGGAAAGAGGGAGACAGACAAAGACCTAGGCCTTAAGTGTAGGTTATTTCTGAAATTACTCAGCCTACATCACTAATCATGAAATGACAGGGGGTGGGGGTCGGGAAAGAATTCAGGGATATACATCAAACAGTTTACTATTGTGTCCCAAAATAGATTCTCTTGGGAATGACTTGTGGCTGTAGGTACCAGAGATCTAAGTATTAAATCTCTCCCACAGCACCTGATTGTGAGCACCCTAGAGGTGGACCTCCTTGTACCTTCCCTCATTCTTTTGACATTAATGTCAGAACACAAAACAATTCCTGCTGACTCTGGCACTTCACTGTGGGAAATCTTAAAAGGGACTCCTGTAGGTTCTCTGCTTTCAGGAAAATGATTATGGAATCTTTAAGAAGGACTTCCTCAGTGTCGTTTGGAGGTGCTGATCCTTCTTAGGTCTTTCAGCTTTCTTAGGTCTGCCAGCCTTAATAGCCTGGTAGCTGTTAATAATATAACATCTATAGCATAGATATGGGAACCCTCTGTGTCACTGCCTTTCCCTAACACCGTGGATACTCCTAAAGGCATTAAATGAATACAGAGCTCCAAGAATGTTTTCTAGATTTGTATCCTATCCTATTTTAGCAATACAACTTCAAGAAAAACAAAATGAATGTTAAAGCCAAAAGTAGAAGGAAATTCATCATAAAACAAATATTAAAATAAAAATGTCAAAGAAAATGTCTGACTCTTAGGACAGAAAAAATAAAATGAAAACACATGAAGAATAAATTTGAAATCATCAAAGAGAACGTTATGTACAGAAAGTATAGACTGACCTACTCCAGATATACATATATATTTATAGCCTTAAATAGTATCATAATAAAAAAAAAAATCTTGGTACCTGTAGGACCTGCACTTACAAACATTTCTTTGACTCTTCACAGAACCTATGAAGTGCTGACATTCACAGGACTTAGGAGCCTAATATTTTGCCTACCTATTTCTTGCCCTTATCTTTTTGAAACATGAACTATACCTAATCATTGTAATGAAGAAATAAGAGCTGTAGAGACAGATGAATCAAATCCAGGGCAGGTGCAATATTCAATTCAAACAACCTGGGAAATTAGGTTTCTTAAGGGAGGGGAAGCTGATCTTATAACTGAAATTAAACTAATTTTTCAATACAAACTAACTGTTGCAGGTTAAGACTTTTACGAGTAATGTCAACTTCTGGAGGACTGGCTTCCCTCCACAGTTCTTGAGGAAGTTATCCATAGAGTGGGTGACAAAAACATCCATAAAGTGGGTGACTTGGTGCATCGTAAGAGCTGTTTTCTGTCAGAAGCTTTCAAAACACCAAATACACTTGTATGGGAGGAGACTTTTTTACAGTTTGGGATGGTAATCAGGTTTGTGGGGGGAAAAAATAATACCACTTGAGTGACCTCTCCTGTATGTATTCTTAGAGGACCAGCAAGGCTTGATTTCTGTTTAGAGCTTTTCTCACAGTAATTGCATTCAAAGGTTTCTTTTCAGTGTGACTTCTCTGGTGCAAGGAAGGAGATGGCAGTCGAATGACAGTTTTCCTACAAGTATTACATCTTTGAGGATTTACACGTTATGACTTCTCAAATGTCTTTTAAAACTGAATGGATGATGAAAAGATTTCCCACACTCGAGAAATTTATATGGTTCTCCTCTAAAATGAACTTTCTGGTGCACTATAACGTGGGCCCACCTAGTGAATCGCTTTTGGCATATGGGACATGCAAAGGGCCTCTTTCCCATGTGAAGCTCTTGGTGTCTGTAAAGGTTTGACCTACGAAGGAAGCTTTTCATACATTCAGGACACTTGTGAGGTTTTGCTCCTGAATGAATTTTCTTGTGCCTAGAAAGTCCTGACTGCCAAGCAAAACATCTCCCACACTGTGAACATTGGTGTGGCTTCTCTGCTGCTTGCCTTTCCTCATGGGCTTTAGGGGTGACTGGTCCTTCCATGTTAGAACATTCAGGTTTTTCTTCTGCAGGGGGGTTGTGGTCATCTACAGGCTTTGATAGATAGGGGACATTTTCCGTTTCATTTTCTAATTCTTTCTAGTCTGTATGCAAAACAGGAGCATGGAGTGCCCTCAGCAGTAAAAATATATGGATACTTATCCTCAGGATTTTCCCTTTTTGAAATATTCTCTCCATTTTCTGCATTAGTATCAGAACTTGTCTCAGAAAAGGGTGGGCATTCCTCAGAAGCACCACAGTTGAGGTACCATGGCTCTGCCTGTGGAATCCATTCCTCTGTCACTGTGGCCTTCTGGGAAGGTTCCAGGACATGGAACTCAGGTGACTCCTGTTGGATCTTTGGTGATATGTGTGTCATTACTTCTGGTTTCAGTTTTTCCAAGAGTATTTCCCATGGGCTGACCCAAACCTGCTGCTGCATCCACCAGGGAATGCATGGATGATGTTCTTGATGCCATCCCACAATTCCTATGGTTTTCAGTCACTTGTGTTCAATACATCAAATATATACTTCAGATCCACCACTCATCTATCAGTTTGTTGTGCTGTGGTGTCTTGCATGTTGCTGTGATGCTGAAGGCTATGCCACTGGTATTTCAAATACCTTCAGGGTCACCCATGGTGGACAGATTTCAGTGGAACTTTCAGACTAAGACAGACTCAGAAAAAGGAAGGGGCCATCCACTTCTCAAAGAATTGGCCAGTGAAAACATTTGGAATAGCAGTAAAACATTGTCTGACATATTACTGGAAAATTTTATGAATAACCCTGTAACATTACAATATAATACCGGAAGATGAACCCCTCAGGTTGGAAGGCACTCAAAATATGACTGGGGAAGAGCTACTGCCCCAAAATAAAGTGGACTTTAATGATGTGGATGGAGTAAAGATTTCAGAACCTCCATTTGCTGAGGTGGCATGACTCAAGATGGGCAGAAACAGCTGCAAACATACACTAAGAATAGGAACAAGAAATGTGCAAAGTATGAATCTAGGAAAATTGGAAGTAATAAAAAATGAAATGGAACACGTAAAGATCAATATCCTAGGTATTAGTGAGCTGAAATGGACTGGCTATTGCCATTTTGAATATAACAACCATATGATCTACTTTGCCAGGAATGACAAATTGAAGAGGAATGGTGTGGCATTCATTGTCACAAAGAATGTTTCAAGATCTATCCTGAAATACAATGTTGTCAGTGATAAGATAATATTTACATGACTACAAGGAAGACCAGGAGTTCTGGTAGCATAGTGGCTAAGGCACTTGACTGCAAATGAGAAAGCTGGTGGTTCAAACCCATCAGCCACTCCTTGGAAGGAAGATGGGGCAATCTACTTCCGTAGTGATACTGCCTCGGAAACCCAAGAAGGGGTCGCTATGAGTCAGGTCCGACTCAACGGCACATAACAACAACAAGGAAGACCAGTTAATACTATTACTATTCAAATTTATGCACCAACCATCAAAGCCAAAGATGAGGAAACTGAGGATTTTTACCAACTCCTGCAGTCTGAAATTGATCAAACATCCAATCAAAATGTGTTGATTATCACTGGTGATTGAAATGCAAAAGTTGGAAACAAAGAAGATCACCAGTAGTTGGAAAATATGACCTGTGGTGATAGAAAAGATGCTGGAGACTACATGATAGTATTTTGCAAGACCAATGACTTATTCTTCAATTTGTCATTCCCAGCACAATAGATCATATGATTGTCTGATTCAAAGTGACAAAAACCAGTCCATTTCAGCTCACTAATGCCTAGGATATCTATCTTTATGTGTTCCATTTCATTTTTGAAAACTTCCAATTTTCCTAGATTCATACTTCGTACATTCCACATTCCAATTATTAATGGATATTTACATCTGTTTCTACTCATTTTGAGTCATGCCACATTGGCAAATGGAAGTCCTGAAATCTTTACTCCATCCCCATCATTAAAGTCAACTTTACTTTCAGGAGACAATTCTACTCAAGTCATATTTTGAGTACCTTCCAACTAAAGGGGCTACTTACTCTTCCAGCACTATATTAGACTTTGTTTCAGGGCTATTAATAAAGTTTTCCAGTAATATATCAAACAGAATTTCATGGCTATTCATAATGTTTTCACTAGCCAATTCTTTGAGAAGTGGATGGCCCCTTCCCTCTTCTGAGTCTGTCTTAGTCTGGAAGCTCTACTAAAACCTGTCTACCATGGGTGACCTTGCTGGTATTTGAAATACTGGTGGCATAGCCTCCAGCCGTCCAGCTACATGCAAGCCACCACAATACAACAAACCGACAGACAAGTGATTGGTTCCAAACTTAGGAGGATAACATAGTGCATAAGGCACTTTACTGCTAACCAGAAGGCTGGTGGTTCAAACCCATCAGCCACTCCTCAGAAGGAAGATGAGGCAATCTACTTCCATAGTGATACTGCCTCAGAAACCCAAGGAGGGGTCACTATGAGTCGGGTCCGACTTGATGGTACATAACAACAACAACAACAGAAAATTAATAACCCTTCTAACCAAAATAAGAAAATCACAAAGCTCAGTAAACACACAATCTTCAAAAATGAAAAAAAAAAGTGTGTGTGTGTGGGGGGGGAGAAAATCCAATTAAAAAATGAACTAAGAACAGAAAAATATTTAGAACAAAAAGAACTGTCGATATCACAGAAAAAAAAATGACAGCAGTATATTCATATCTATCATTAATTACAGTGGATGTAAATGAATTAAGTGCACCAGTCAAGAGAAAGAGGGTGACAGAATGGATAAGAAAACAAGACCCATCAATATGCTTCCTACAAGATTCATCTTAGATATAAAGATAAAAATAAATTAAAAATCAAGGTATGAACAAATATATATCAAACTAATAGCAACAAAAAAAGAACAGGAATAGTAATATGAATTTCTGGTAAAATAAACTTTAAGGTAAAACCCAGCATAAGGGACAATTAATGACATTATGTCATGATAAAAGGGTCAATCTACCAAGAGAACATAATGGTAATAAATGTTTCTGCACCAAAAAAGAGCACAGAAATACATAAAGCAAATGTTAATTGAAAGGAAAGGAGAAAGAGACAATTACAAAATAGTAGTAGGAGACATTAACACACCACTTTTGATGAAGGACAGAACAACTAGAAAGAAACTCAATGAAGATTCAGAAGGTCTAAATACAATCAACCAACTTAACCTCGTAGACATGCAGAAGATTCCACCAAACACACAATACACATTCTTTTCCAGTGCACATGGATCATTCTCCAGAATAGATCATAGGTTAGGCTGCAAAACAAGCCTCAAAAATTTTTAAAATATTGAAATACTAAAAAGCATCTTTTTGGATCACAGTGCTATAAAATTAGAAATCAATAATAGGAAGATCAGGGGAAAATAATCAAATACATAGAAACTGAACAACACCCTGCTAAAAAACTACTGGGTAACAAAAGAAATAAAATGCAAAATTAAAACAAAACAAAAAAATCCTACAAACAAATGAGAATTAAAACACAACCTACCAAAACCTTTGGGACACAGCAAAAGAAGCACTCAGAGGCCAATTAATAGCAATAAATACATACATCAAATAAGAGGGAACCAATGTCAATATCTTAACCCAACAACTCTTACAATTAGAAAAGGAATAAAAAAGGGTAAAATCTCCAGAAGAAAGGAAATAATAAAGATTAGAGCAGCTTAAATGAAACAGTAAAACAAATCAGCACAACTAGCAACTGGTTCATTGAAAAGATAAACAAAGAATTCCAGCAAGATGGCGAACTAGGCACAAGGACTGCACAGACGCTCTTCAACAAAGAAAAGGAAAACCAA